TAGGATCTAGCAACCTCACGGGGAAATAAAAACTCTGGTTGAATACCGGGCGAAGCGTGTTCTCTCGCCTCGCCCCCGCGTTGACCATTCCGTCCCATTTCACCTAAAGGTTTGCAATCAGGCAACGCTTAGATGCTTGTTTTTGATTTGTGTTTGACTTGTTTCGACTTAATTTCTGGGGTTGCGAGCAACATTATAGTTGGAGGGAGTATTCCCAGCAAGTCGTTGCATAGGGAAGAACGGGCTGCAATGGCCAGTGGAGTGGAAGCAAAACAAATGGTGCTTCCTAAAATCCGTTGCTCACCTTCACCATTGGGTTAGAACTAAACGAATCTGCATTGGCGACGGGGAGGTTCTCGCACTTAAAAACTCTGTCGCAAACGAAGGTGCATGCACAGGGAGAAATTTGGATGGATTAATGCAGATAGACAAGCGGAGGCGGGCCGAGACAAAACCAGGCGGAGGTAATGAAAGATACAGAGGGGAGGAAGGGAGTAGGAAAGGTATATAGAGACAACGCACACGCGCACACACATACGGAGAGAGTGAGACATAGAATGCCGCGCGAGCCATAGCATATTAAGCCCTGCGGTGAAACGCTGAGCACCGTAGCAAGGAACCGTGGAGACCAAAGCGCTCACCTCACGACAAGATACTGTTCCTTCAAGTTAAGTTGCGTCACGAGGGCAGTGCCTGCGACTGTCTGCATTGGCCGGAAGGGAACGTTCTCGTAACCCAAAACCCCAACGGACCGCACAAAGCATCGGATGTTGCCAATGATTTCTCCCTGTTGAAATTTGCTGGGGTTAGTTGTGAGTTTCTTGACGACTCCTCTGCACGTACATCCATGAACAAGACGTCGTACCCCATATGCACGTGAGAAGTACACCAATACACCAATACCTCGAAGCCTCACCACAGACAGGCGCGCTGTAGGGCTCCGCCAACAGCAACTGAGAACCCTTTTATGTTCCAGAAAAATTCAGGTACATCAGGTCACCAGTAAGGGAGCATCACACGAGTCAGTATTTATAAGCAGGTCTCATAAAAGCACTAGTAATCCACCTGTTCGATTTCGACTGACCTAAAAAGGGGGTACGTCGTAACAGACTTCAGTGACATGATGCACACCCCAAGCTGTAGTGGGGGTCGATACCACTGGCGTTCAAACTGACAGGCCACCTGTTGTCGCACAGATATATATTCTCACCAACCACATGTTATGTTAATTGTGCCTCAAGCGAAAGTGTTGGTTTATCTGGAGATTTGGCAGAAACGCAAGCAGTATTTTATCTACAGCTCCTGTTCGGTCCTACAAACGAACAG